CAAGAGCGTCCACCACAATTGACAATGGATGATTTGAAGAAGAAAGGTATTGAAGGGCTATCCGTCAAATATAAGGGCTTTGGAACGAAAGGCAAAAAACTACCAGATATTGAAACAAACTATTTGCGATTGATTATGCAAAATTTGGTCGAAAATGCGTATCATTATGATGTTAAAATTGAGCCTGATAAGCCAAAAAAATTGCTTACAACTGTTTTCCTGAAGTTTGTTGAAATTAATTTTCCGAGGGCTTCCATTGCCTTCGACGGCACAAACAACGCATATGCTTCGCAACGATTGAAGATCGGCAATTTAGAACGCGAAATTACGATTCTTCATCCAGAAACTGGCAGAGAACGCAAATACACGGTGGCTATTATGGAAGCCAACGACAGCGAAATTCCCATTAGACGGCTAATGACTAGGTGAGTCTGTAGCATTTTCAGTTTGAAATAAATATAAGAAATATAATTTATGGTGTCAATTTCAGCTATCAAAGAACAACATTGAACGAAGATCCAAAGCGAGCCATGCAAGCCATGGAAGTCATTCTGAAAGTAAGAAAATCTTTTTGTTCGTAGAATAACACCATTGCCAATGACCAAATTGTATTGGTTTTTTCATTGTAGTCTGCCTTCCACCAACCACATCTTCGTAATGGCGTTTTAGGCGGTCGGTCATTTTTCTTGCCACCTGACCGTCGCGAGTATTTGGGCGATTTCTACGAGCTCTGGTTGGGTTTGTTCCAAAGTATGGTGCTTGGTAACGTACCGTACCTAAATGTGGATGTCAACCATAAAGCTTTCCCCAAGCGTTATCCAAGCTTAGTCGATTTGCTGAACGATATGGGTGTCGATTCAAACCGAGGCTTAGATCGGAATGTTGAATATGCGTTAAGACAGCATCTCAAAGGATTGGAAATACGTTACAACAAACCCAACGACAAAGCGATGATCTACAAGTTCATGGATATCGTCGGGCCTCCAGGCAATGTTCGATTCACGTTGGAAAACGGTCAACAGAAGACTATTCTGCAATATTTCCAAGAAACTGGCAGAAACATTCGAAACGTAAATTTACCGTGCATCAAACTTGGCAATACGATCAAAAATATTATAGTGCCAATGGAAATGTGCGGAATTCCAGACACTCAAGTAAGTCAATGAACTAAAATTTATCAAGTGGGTTCAGTTCGAATTAGAACTGTTTATAGTTTTACATAAGAAATTGGACAAAATCCGTTGAATAAATGTCATTTTCTTCATTTTAGGTGATCAACAAAAAGTGCACCGAAAATCAGACACGAAATATCATACGCTTCGCCGCCACGAGCACAGATGACAGAAAACAAAAGATAATGAAATTATTGAGTCAAATACGACACAACAATTCGCAAACCATCCAAGGTTTTGGTCTTGGCGTTGATGCCAATTTTGCAAAAGTGCCGGCCAGATTATTGGATCCACCGGTCATTGAATACAGTAACAAAACAATGAAACCATCCAGAGGAGTGTGGCGCGGCGAAAACAGCGCATTTTTGCTGCCCCAAGCCGCTAATGAATGGAGCATTTTGAATACCAACTTCCGTACGAAACCGAATGAACTGAAAGATTTGGCAAAAATGGTAAAGCTGATTGAGATTGAAGATCAAAATTCGAAAATAGGTTCTAATTTAAATTCATTCCTTTCAGCTCTATAATACCAGTCGTGCAACGGGACTACAATTGGCTGAACACCCATCTGATATTCGAACAATTTCAGATCGTGAAACCAACAAAATTAAACAGGAAATGGAACGACTTGGCAAAGAAAATCGAATTAAAATTCTTTTCGTTATCATTCCGGACAGTGGGCCAACATATTCCCAGATCAAGAAAATGGCCGAAATCGACTATGGTGTGTTGACTCAATGCATCAAAGGTGGAACTGTGTCCAGAAAGCGAAATGATATGAGCACCATATCCAATAGTAAGTGGTCAAATTTGGAAAAGAAATACTTTTTCACAAGTACAAAAATTATCTTTCTAAAAACTAAATTTTAACTCTGAATTTCAGTTTTGCTGAAGGTCAATGCCAAGCTCAATGGCACCAATCACAAATTGAGCAGCAATGTGATCAACATGTTGTCCAAAGAAAAGTGTATGTTCATTGGTGCCGACGTCACTCATCCATCGCCGGACCAAACAAGGATTCCGAGGTAATTATTGCACACCAATTACAATTATTTTCATAGAAATTGGCAAAGTGATAATCGATTAATCGAGGTAAATGTTTTATTTTCCGTAAAGTGTTGTCGGTGTAGCTTCATCTTTCGACGACAACGCCTTCTGCTACAAATTTGATTGGCGTTTGCAAGGTCAACGCGTTGAAATGATCCAAGAATTCAGAGAAATCATCAAGGATCATCTGAAATATTATAAGGAGAAGAACCGTGGTGTGCTCCCAAGCAAAATCTTCTACTATCGTGACGGTGTTTCCGAAGGGCAGTTCGATCAGGTAATGGCCATCGAAAGAAACGCCATGCTTCAAGCGTGCCGGGATATGGAACCAGGATATGAAAAGCGTGTGAAAATGACGGTTGTCGTTGTTCAAAAACGACATCACACTCGATTCTTCCCGGGTAACACTGGCGTCGGAAAAGATGACCGAAAAAATAACAACGTGCCAGCCGGAACGATTGTCGATACGGTCATCACACGGCCCAACGAAAATCATTTCTATTTGGTGTCTCATCAATCAATTCAAGGTGTGGCCAAGCCAACCAAATATTGTATCTTGCTGGATGAAGGAAATCATTCGATTGATGATCTACAATGCCTTACATACGATGTAAATATAAAAAACCCTCATATTTTTCATTGTTTTACAGAGAAGACTTACTTTGAAAATATCTGATTTGGTTTTCAGCTATGCCATCTGTTCACCCGATGCAACCGCGCTGTTTCATATCCAGCACCAACTTATTATGCACATTTGGCTGCATACCGTGGTCGAGTATATATTGAGTAAGCACTGTTTGATTACACGTTCATTGCGGAGACAAATTAAATTTTTTTCTTCCCTTTTCTTCTCGAATAGAAACGAGCCGTTGAACATGAACAATCTGGCACGGGAATGGAGCATGCGAGCAATTAAAGACAACATCATCAATGGGCGTCCCATGTTTTTCGTATAAGCGAGATGAAGAATATGTCGAAACGACTGCATTCATTCACTGCGTAATTTTTGAATGGCCGATTTCGGTTTCAATTATAGTTTAAACATTATGATTTTGCTTCATAAGAATGGGGTTGAGGCTTAAAAACCAATTGTTCTTCTAGTACTTTGTTAGATGCATGATAGAACATGTTCTTTACGAACCGTACCGATACAAAATATAAAAAAATCAACAAAAAAATGACGATAGCCGACGTTATCCGTACTAAGCTTTGGAAATTAACAACTAAATGTTGGACAATTTCAACTTACTTGAATATCAATTGAAGAATTTTTATATTTTCTATCCAATTTAATCTCACTTATTAGTGTTACACACATCGAATTTCCAAAAATATTACATCATTTATAAACACAAAAACAACAAAATAACCAAAAAAATATTGACTTTAATAATAAAAATTGCTTGTAAGCACATAACCAATTCTTGTATTTTATTTATATTTTTTTTATCAAGTTTAAGCATTCTCCGAGATACAAATGGAAATGATGTAGATTCAGGAAAAAGGTTCTCGTTTTGAGTCTGCCCAAATATAAACATTAAAAAAAAACCAAGTTTAATTTTGATTGTTGAATTTTGTATGATAGTTTTCCAAACGATTGCTCTTCATAAATTTCATCATCATCTTTCCCTCAGCAAAAAAAGTGACAACTAACCAACAATTTAAATATTCTATTTTTGATACTAATTTGGATGAATAACAACAGAGTATGATGTGAAAATAATGCATCTAAGACAAAGCAGTCATACAAATTGTCGTCGTAAAATGATTTCAACGATAACAGTTGTTTATAAAAAAACGTCCCGAAGAACTATTGAAGACTTTGCAACTTTGAATGGATGAAAATGAGTCAATGTGACGTGACAGTGGATGAAATAAAAAAGCCGCTATATACATATACAACGAGAACAGGCAAAATATACACAGACAAACAGGAATTGAGTCGCAAAACCGGATCGCGTGCATATATTGCATATTACGTATGAGTCATACGGTCTACGGTATATGACAGATACCTAAACAACTACAAATAGCACTCTGCGCTTGTATTCGTATAGCAGCAATCACAGTATACTTTGAAGTTTCTTTCGTTCTCTTGCGAATTTCATCATATCGAGTGCAGTTTTCAAAGCGAACAGTTCATAGAGTTTCAATAAACCGAAGAAGAGTTTTTTTTTGAAAATAAAATAATTACACTAAGATTGAAGTTGACTAAATAGTCATATAATCAAGTTCAGAAAACACAGATATTTATATATATAATTCAGTGGAATATCCTGAAGTGAAACCATAAAACCTTAACACGCAATACGATGGGGAGAAAAAGCAGTAAGTTCAATGTTTAATGTTCATTTAAGTATAAAGCTTTAGGTTTTGTATGTAAAATAAAACGTTCCATTTATGAGACACAGTCGTTACATCATATGATATTTCTCTGAAAAATTTAATTTTGGCAATTTCACTATTGGGTTGAATTTTTTGGTTCTCTGTGAAAAATTACACATAATTTTGATGTCGTTTTTCAATTGAGATTCTATAGGTTCTATAAAGGTTTTGCGATTTTGTGAAAAATGAATATATAGAAAACTAAAAAAGGAGAGAAAATCTTACATGCTAAAGGAACGTACAGCGTGATTGAAGGGAATGAATATTTGAAATATACAAATTTATATTAAATCAATTTTTCCAATAAAATAAGACAAAAAACAAGTCTGCATTTATATACTGTTTTCAAAAGTTGGACCCAGACTTACTCATTCCAGAAATGATATATTTTACCATTTTTATAAGATTTATTAATTTGGCAGTTTTCATTCAATCAATTTTGATCAAAACTTCACTAAATAGTGAATATATCCCGTTTGAAAATAATTTCATCATATTTTCAAATGTGAAGAAATTCCAATTTTTCACGCGCAATGCATGTTTCGTCGCGCAATAACATGTTTCGTCTTGTAATACTCATTAATATGGTTCAATAGTCAAATGCATGCCGCATCACAAATACTGCTTCGGCTTATCGTGTTTACATTTCCTTGGCTGAGTTCTGTTTTTGTAGACTATAAAGCAACTTGATAAAGAAAAGGCGTATTTAAATGCGCAGCAAACGCTAGTAATAACACACAATAATAACATGACTCACTACCTCAGATTTATAGATTGATATTTTTGTGCGATGCAGAGAAAAAAGAGTTAGAACTTTATCGATTTTTTTTCTTGTTTTTTTTTTTAGAAAAAAATGATAAAAATATTTCGAAAGAGTCAAAACCGACTCCAAAGGCCATGGACAGTTCAGCAACTGCAAGTCACGGCTCTGGTCAATCCCAACAACCAATTCGACCAACACCACAGCAAGGTGAAGCACCGATGGCTGCAAGTCGAGCAGTTGAAAATCTGCAACCAAGGCAAGTAGATGAGTGGAAATCTAGTCAAAGATCAGAACAATGGCCGCAATTAGAGCGGTCACAAGGAAGTCGTTCTGAAATGCCGGGTGACCGTCAACCACAAGCGCAACAACAACATCAGCGTTATGAGCAGCACCGCCCACCGCATCAACAGCAAGGTGCAAGGCAGCAAGGTCGTAAGCCGCAGCAATCACAACCACAAAAAGGACAAGGATCACAGAATCAGGGACAACTGCCACGACCGAAAGAGCCCCAAAGGCAAGAGGGCGCCTGGTCTCTGCCACCACGTAATCAACGACCACAACGTGGATCCACGCAACCAATTCAATCAAAGAAACCACAAGCTGCTTCAAGTACTGCCAAAACGCAACAAAAGCGCCGTGAACCATTGACGATGGAAGATGTGAAGAAACAAGGTGCCGAAGAGCTTCAAATCGAATATAAAGGTCACGGCACAAGAGGCCAAAAACTTGGCAAAATTGAAACAAATTACGTTCGATTGTCAATCAATCGAATAGTTGAGAACATTTATCACTACGATGTATCGTTTGAGCCAGAAAGGCCGAAGAAATTCCTCGCGAAAGCTTTCAAAGAATTTGTTAAGATAAATTACCCGGGACAGAATGTTTTCGTTGCTTTCGATGGCGCCAAAAATGCTTACGCTTCCCAACAACTCGAAATCACCGATTTGCAGCAGAATGTCACAATAATTCATCCTGACACGAGCAGAGAACTGAATTTCAGAGTGACCATTCAGGAAGCAAAAAACAGCCAGATTCCATTTGAGCAAGTTTTCAGAAAGTAAGTAATCGAATTTTCTATCTTATGTACCCGATTTGAACGCAGTTTTTGATAACATGATAATAATGGTTTTTGGGTTTATCGTAGTTATACAAACCCAGAGGTTGATCCAAAACGTGCGTTACAAGGCTTGGAAGTTATTTTGAAGGTGAATAGAAATAGTGTTTTCTTTGTTTTTCATTTGATTATCTTCGAAAATATTCAACTAAATGATTTTCCATAGGCTGCATTCCATGAGGAACGTGTGAATCGCGGTCTCATTGGTGGCCGCTCATTTTTTGTACCACCTGATATGCTTGCCACGTTAAAAGGCAAAGATCTATATTTAGGTGATGGCTGCGAGCTGTGGTTAGGTCTTTTTCAAGCAGTTGTACTTGGCGATGAACTCTTCTTGAATGTTGACGTCAGCCACAAAGCATTTCCGAAACGTTACAACAGCTTGTTCGACTTGTTGAAAGATCTAGAAAGAGATCTGCGATTGAGAGATCGCATTGACCTGAACAGACCATTAGACGACAAAGTTTTAAGGGCATTGCAAAGACAACTGTCTGGATTGGACGTGTGCTACACTCGGCCTGGCAGCGGCACTATAACCATTCGAAAATTTGTACGTGTCGGTGAAAAGCCAAGCAACCATCGTTTCATGCTTGGGAATGAACAAACTACGGTTTTGAATTACTTCAGAGAACGGGGTATGAAAATTGATTACCTAGAGATGCCATGCCTTGAAATAGGTAGCAGAGACGATCCGATAGCAGTGCCAATGGAGTTCTGTTCCATATCTAATGCTCAGGTAAAGACAAACGGCATGGCTGATTTTAGAATTTTTCTTTTTGCAAAATTATGATTTTTTTTAGGTAATCAATAAAAAGTGCACCGAGAACCAAACACGAAGTATCATTCGCCATTCTGCAACAAGTACAGATGAAAGGAAAAAGCGAATTATGGATGTTTTCAATGTAGTGAATCATAATAATTCTCAAGCTATTAAAAATTTTGGAGTTGATGTCGGTAAAGAGTTCATTCAAGTGCCAGCCAGAAAATTGGAAGCACCAACCATTCAGTATAAAAATACTACAGTCAAACCAAAGAATGGTGTATGGAATCCAGTTAACATGGAATTTTTAATGTCTGAGCCAACATCGAAAACCGGTCTTGAATGGGGTATTTTAAATGCAGATAACTGGACCGAACGCCGCGCGATATTGGAATTGTGTGATAAGGTTAGCAGAGCTATTTTCTTGTGTCCATTTTTTATTTAGTTTCTTCATTGTCTTATCCTAAATGTTGCTTTTATATGTTAGTTACACGAAATCAGCAAATCGAATGGAGTAAATTTGGCACCACAACCCTCATATTTCGAATCATTGATTTCTAGGGGGGAAAAATATGGTAAAATATATTTTAAATTTATTTGTTGAAAAATCGCATTTTTTCAATACGGCTCATAATTATGTTATAAATATAATTGTTTTCATCAGTTCCAGATTACAAATTGGAACAAAGAATCCGAGAACAGTTCGACCTGCTGGGCAATAGAGATGAAATCAAAATCCTCTTCTGCATCATACCGGACAATGGCCAAATTTATGGTAAAATAAAGAAGGTGGCGGAAATCGACTGTGGCGTATTGACTCAATGCATCAAAGCCAGAACTGTCAAGGATAGACGAACTGACCCAAGCACATTGTCCAATATCATGCTGAAGGTCAACGTTAAATTGAATGGCACAAACCATAAATTGGAAACATGTCCAATTTTGACGAATGCAAAATGTATGTTCGTCGGTGCCGATGTCACTCATCCATCCCCGGATCAGAAGACAATTCCAAGGTTTGAACAATTTTCAAATTTGTAGTTGGCATTGACAGAGTTAACAATTCTATATTCCCTGCAGTGTGGTCGGTGTTGCTGCATCCTACGATGTAAATGCATTTCGGTACGCATTTTACTGGCGTCTTCAAGAACCACGCGTTGAAATTATAAAAGATTTCAAAGAAGTGATCAGTGAACATCTGAAAATGTACAAGAGAACAAACAATATGCTTCCTGACGAGATTTTCTATTATCGAGATGGCGTTTCCGAAGGTCAATTTGATCAAGTGATGGCTATCGAAACAAATGCCATGGTTAAAGCTTGTCAAGAAATTGAGCAAGGATATGAGAAGCGTGTGAAAATGACGGTTGTCGTTGTTCAAAAGCGGCATCACACTCGATTCTTCCCGGGTAAGACTGGCGTCGGAAAAGATGACCGAAAAAATAACAACGTGCCAGCTGGAACGATTGTCGATACGGTCATCACACGGCCCAACGAAAATCATTTCTATTTGGTGTCTCATCAATCAATTCAAGGTGTGGCCAAGCCAACCAAATATTGTATCTTGCTGGATGAAGGAGACCACTCAATTGATGATCTACAGTGCCTAACATACAACGTAAGTTTAAAAAATTGAAATGTTTCTAATAATTTACAGAGAAGACAAACTTTAAAACTGTCTGGTTTTGTTTTTAGCTCTGCCACTTGTTCGCCCGATGCAATCGCACTGTTTCATATCCAGCACCAACTTATTGCGCTCATCTAATCGCTTTTCGTGCTCGTAAATACATTGAGTAAGTTAAGATTTGTTTGATTTTTGAGAAATGTATTCATATACCTAATTTTTTTTCTATTCAGAAGCGACAGATTTAATTTCAATAACTTGGACAAAGAATGGGGCGCAAGAGCACTAAAAGAGAAGATCATCAAAGGACACCCAAGTTTTTTTTATTGAACAAATGAAGTATGGCCTTGGATAGACCGAAATTTCTTCTATCAAACATTTGGTCGCTGAATTTATTTTTTAATCCATTTTAACTAACCATCAATATTTTATTTTATCTTTCGACATCTATATACTTGGCATGACAGGTTTTACGATTTTGTCTTATATATCTTATTTTATCCGAACTTGTAACGTTTGCGTTTTACGAAAATACTAACACTTATATTATATTATCAATTTTAATCTGGTGATGGGGAAATATATTCAATAATCATGGGAGAAAAAACGAAAAATGTAAAAAAAAAGTTTTGAATACATAAATAAAATAAAAATCATTGCAAGCTACATATAGCTTGTAATTAGGGTGAAGGGAATAGATAATGTCTTTCATTTCAAATTCCCCCCAAAATGATGAACTGTCAAAGTGGCCGCTTACGTCAACAAATACTAACGTCACTTGCGACGTGACATTTCAAGAGAAAGGCAGTGTTTCTTTTCTAATTTAGTTTATTTTTATTCATTAGTGCAAATCAAGGCCCAGTTTTTATTAGACAAAAGATTTTTTCGAAAACAAAAAATTTCCAAAAATGGATGTAAATGATTTTGTAAATGGTCGTACACGGGGCGATGGAATGGAATTTGTTGAATCACAATCAGAACGAGCAAATAAAATTTCGCAAGCCTCAACCACGAATCCAACACATAGAAGTATCGATGGTTCGACAAGTCGTATTCCTGGTGCCACAACAATCTATCGCTTTGACGATAGTCAAAGCAACTCGGTGAAGCTGCCAGCAAAAATTCCGCAAGGGAAACCATTTTATTTAGTGCCTCATTTAGTCAATACGAAAAAATCGTGTTCTCTTAAAAATAAAGCGCCGAAATTTGTGCCATTCGAACCATACAAAGCAGCCGTAAGTATTGCATTGGACACTCATTTGTGGCGAAGAATTCAAAATGAATAGAAAAAAACGATTCAAAAAATTGGAATTAGGTCAATCCAATGGTGCCAGATCTTCAGAAGAGGCAGCGAACTAGCAAGAAAAACAATTTGGACCTGAACACACTGGTGTCCCACGTTGCGAATATTAAAACGAGTGAGCTGAACAGTATGAATGTTGAAAATAATGCAGCAAAAGAAGCCGCTGCCACACAGCAAAAATTGTACGAAAAACAAATTGCCGAATTGAAAAAGGAGCGTGATTCATTCGGAAGCGAACTCAAGTTCCAGGTCCAAGTGAATTCAGAGCTAAAAAATTTGCTAGTTGCAGCAGTTGGTGAGGATTTACAAACTCGTGTCAACGTTTTGACAGAAGATAAATTGCAGTTGGCCAGAGCACTTTTAAGTTCGGCGACAGAACATTCGACACATACTGAGCAAATCGAGTATTTGGCCAATCAGAGCGAAGTTTGGCGAAGTAAATTTTTGGCGAGCAGGTTTGTGTGTTAGATTTAACCCTGTAATAGAATAAAAAGGAAATATGTCTAGACTCAATCGAAATTGAATGAAATTGTCACAACTATTTTTGTCATTTATACAGTTTGATGGTCGAAGAGCTGGCCCGATGGAAGGCGAGTTTGATGCAGAAGAATAAATTGCTACTCGATTCGAACAAGCAAATGCTGGAAACAATGTCCCAATTACGCACAATGCAAACGAGCATTCTACGAAATTTAAAATTTTTGGCGCAGTTAAAGTCCATGAATCTTCCATCGAGCAACGTGACCGATTTGACTCTGGAATGTCTCAACATCTCCGAACAGCTGGTACTACATTCCGGCCGGAATGTTGGAATGCCGGATGATAGTTTGGATTTGACACATTTGGATACAATAACCGAATCAGAAAAACTGGCAATCGACGCGATTCAGGCATCGAATCAGAATCTTGTGTCGTCAGATGCTGCACACAAAGCAGTTGTTGACCAAGCCTTTCCACCGACAAGAGCATCGGTCGAAACACAAACCTCAATTAACGACATCAATCAGTGATTTTATACATTGAACGAGTAGATTTTCTTAAACAAATTTATTATCAAGCCAGCTCAAATGCAAATATTGAACTGAGATAATGTTGTATTCGAATTATGACTTGATGAGAATTCTATGTAAATATTAAGATTTTATTCAATTATGACCAATAAATCTATTTTCAGTAAATTACAAACACGAGCTGTTTACGATAGATGAAAATTTTCCATAGATGCATTAAACTAATACATTGTTATTGAGTTCTCTTTTCATAAATTGGGTCCTTGAAACACGAAAAATAGACAAGCCTTGAACATCAAATCGGGTTGAGGGAAAAACCAATGAAATAAACCAAAAAATTTAATAAAATTACTATAAACTTGTCTTGACCCATTTGCCCACAAGTTTACCTTTGCCTTTACAAAATCTACTCAAAATTTGATCCAGTAAAAGCAATGTCAACTGGAGAAAATCCCATAAACTTCTTCACGTACACCGGAACGCCATCTATGTTCGAATGATGTGAAAAAACTCCACTCGACCACTTATCAAATTGCAAATAGAGTATTACAAAAGGTTTTTTTTCTGCTACTGCATGTGTGTGCGTGTGTGCGATTTAACGCACTTTCTGATAGACAGTCCGTCAGTAGTATTTTGAATGACTGAATGCGAGCTTGCAAACTGAGCGAACAACAAACAGCGAATAATTAAAACTATGCATTCCGAATTTGCGTCTATTTAGTTTGTAGTTTGTTTGTTTATTTTTTTTTTTGTAAAAATTGAAATCTATTTTTTCCGTTGGATTATTCGTTAAATTATTTGTGCCTAAAATTTATTTTGTGTATAGTTTCGGTATCGATTGGAATAATCTAGTGAAGTGTTTTTTTTTGGTGAAAGTGAAACAGAGGCAAATTATCCAGTTGAATGGTTCAAAAAGTATGCAAATGAGAGTTACAGTGAGACAGCCTTCGAAATAAATCGAGAGTTAAGGATTATAAACGACATTATCGCAGTAAAATGATAAAAATTTATGATTTTTTGTAAGCGATTGTGTTGTTTTTTTTCCTTCACTTAAAGCCTTACGACAACAGCAACGACGGAGAAAAGCCCAAAAAAAACGTTAGTATTTGTGTGTAATGAAATTAGGCCTATTTCACTTCAAGAGTGAGAGAAAGAGCGCGCGTCTGTGTTAGTGTGATTGAGTGTATGCGATGTGAACGCACTCAGTTTTCGACCATGTTTTTTTTACTCTCCTCTTCTTCTCGTTGTCGTTGGGATCTATTTTTGTTTTGACTTTGCGTCGTCTGCTTTGAAACAATCACAAGACCGAGAAGTGAAAAAACAGACACAAGCACTCGACCGCTTACCACATTGCCCGTGTGTTTGTATTATTCATCGCGTGTATTTCGCCATTCGAATCGAATCGAATCGCATGCAAACATACACAAACAAACCCATTAAGCGCATAAATATTTATATTTGCATTTATCTCAGTCGTTTCTCTACATACGGAAGGCAGAAAGAAGCGCGCGCGCCTTCGTAGTTGTGCAAAGAGTGTGAGTGATGTTTTAAATACATGCGATTTCCTAAATTGTCATGCTGCCTTGTGAGATAGAAGACAAGAAAATAAAAGCAAGAGAAATAAACCAGTGTATGTATCAATATTATCTCTCTAGGTACAGAAGAGAGACTAACTTGTTTTCAGTGTTACATTCAGAGTTGTTGTGTACGCGTTTTTTTTTTCGTTAACAATTTTTTTACCTTTGCCGTTTGGTTACCATTCTTCTGTGTGTCTGAAAATCTGAACTCGTTCTACCCAAACAAAACCTTGAACTTTTGCAATAATTTCTGAAAATCGTTTAAAATTTCAATTATTTATTTTTTATTGCTGATTATTTGGACCAACGATTGATTTGTTTGTTTAGACAAAAATGTTTTGTAAATAAATCGGTCTGTGTATGGAATTGATTGAATTGAGCAGCCGCCATCGAAATTGCCTTGAAGTGAATGAAGTTTCAATTTCCAAATGTTTATTTGCAAATCGTCGAAAATGTGTTTATTAAAAGTAATTTGAGATGTGTCTTTTTACATTTTTTTTTCTGTTGCTTCAGCATAAATTGTTGAATCAATGCACGAAATCCATATGATATCCGCAACAATCATTGAGCTAAAGGCTAAATTGGAACTAAACCGAATTTTCGATTGCAATAGCAACAAGTCTATGTGTCACTAATGATCCAGCCGATGTATCATCATCCACAACCAGTATGTAACATACCTAGATTGATATTGATGTATAACAATGTAATCAAAACATGTTTGCTGATCAGCATTTATGATATGTGCGTGTTGTTTCTCCGATTAGGTCATTGGTCCAAAGACGGTTGTTTTGTATCGCAATACCAAACATGGCTTTGGATTCACATTACGTCATTTCATTGTTTATCCGCCTGAATCACCAGCAGTAAGTCACGTCAAAACCATACCAATTTTTATTATTCAGAATGAAATTTTGGAATGAAAAACTAAAGGAAATTTTTTTTATCGCTTGTTTGACAGGAACGCAATGTAGCTGGTATTTTAAATATAACACAGCCGATGGACACAGTGTTTGTGAAAGAAGTGCGTTTGAATGGGCCAGCTCATAATGGCGGTTTGAGACCTGGCGATCGTTTGCTTTCGGTTAACGGAATGCCGGTCGCTGGTACACCCTACGCAAACGTCGTTCGAGCAATTCAACAAACTCCACACATTCTGCAATTGATTGTCGTGCCAAAAGACTGTGATATATTGCAAACGGTATGTGTGAAACCTTGTGACAAACCCAAAAAGTGTTGGAAAGTGATTTCCATTTATTAATCTTGTTGAAATTGTTTTGCGTAGCTTTTTAGCGAATCAGCACACAGTCCCGAATCGAATCAGAGGCCTTGTATTTATGCAAATCCACAAGATATTTCATTCAATGGGATTCAATCGAATGCGAATCACGTTCCAGTTTCGTCTCCCAATTTGGACAGTGCTTGCAATAATGTCGCCGCCTTGAATTTGCTGCGAATCAATCCGAATGCGAAACACTTGAACGAAATGGCCCATCGACATTCATTCAATGAAAGTATCTACTCTGAACCGTACGGCGGAGGAGGACGATATGTGGCTGGCAGCAGTAATCGGCTCGATTCAAATCATCCGAATCCATTAAGTGAAAGTGCAAGTGCTTCAAATATTTACAGTGGCAAAGTGGTAACGGCAACACGAAGCCATCCCCAATACTTTTTCCCGCAAAATAGTTTATCTCATAGAGATGTTTATGCAACGACCTCGTCGGTTGCATCGAACGGTCTATCCACCGCCGATGTTAGTTCAACGCGTTCAAGCGTTTATAGTGATAGAACAATCTTAAACGAACAAACACCACCGAGCACACCGCGTCTGTCGCACGGTGACAACGAACGAACAATAATCAAAGCAACCAATCCAAATAATTCAACGGCATCAAATGCGTCTGGATCTCAAGCAAATTTGCAATCAAAACCAATTTTTACAAATACTGAACAAGTGCAAACACTGCAATCAAACTCGAGTACATTAGATAAAACCTCATTAGTTGCTGAGAGCAATTGTGCTGAACAAAGTGAGTTATCCATTTGATCATTTTGTGCCATTTGTTTTGAGTGAAAAGTGTAACATTATATAAAATGTGTCGTTCCATTTTACAGAGTCTGAAGAAGGCAACGAAACTACAGCGCCTGTGATGCGTCGCCAAAAAACGGCCAATAGTAATAATTCCGAGCGATCAGTCCGTCGGATTTCATATTTGCGCGCTACCGCCAATGATATTTCCCTACAAGAATCAGAAAAAGTCGGGGAGAGCATTAACGAATTCAAGGAAGAAAAAGCTCCATTGAGCGATGAACTACAGATGTTATCACAATTTTTCAAACGGTGAGTCGAAATGAACATATTTTGAACTATTTTGGAGCGTTTTTTCGAATTATCTTCTGAATATGCTGTTCATTTTAGAAATTCTACGGTGGAAAAGCTAGCTGAGCCTGAGATGGAAGGAAAATTAAACGTGAAAATAGCATATGTTGAAAATGAGAAGGCGCAAGTCCGTCAGTGGCATCGAATATCATTTAAACTTCACGGAGATAAACTCCAAATCACTATACTTCAAAATGAATCGGAAGAGGTAAATTGATGGGACTTCTTCTGCATGTCAGAATTTGAAATTAACATGGAAACGCTTTATTCTTTTAACAGCCAACTGATGTAACAGGTACAATAAACTTGCGACAATTCCATGTGACAAAGAGTAGTTCCACAAAGAGAAAATATGTGTTCAAACTCACGACCATAGCACCAGACGCGAAACCATCATCACCATCGCCTGTTGCGATCCAAAAGCAAAAGACAGAATTCTTACTTCAAGCTGACGACCAAGCCAGCTTCGAATTATGGAAAAGTAAATTAGAAAAGGTGACGAGACAACTAGAAGATAATACCGTAAGTTTAATTAAAGATATTCAGGGACAAAAACCAGTGAATTCAAATAAATTCCATTTATTCATTTAACAGGAGCAAAAGTTACAACTTCCACCGAAGGAGAAAATCAATGGCAGCACCTCGACGCTGGAAAAAGAAATGTCTTCAAAGGCTCGGACGTGGAAAGGTTTAGTAGCACGTCAATTCCGCCGAATTCACGGTCAACAGATGAGTGCCCCGAACTCGGCCAACAATTCCATCGACGTACCAAATGTTGCTTCCATCGGGGTTCCTTTGTCGGTTTGTCCGATTTCCGAAAAGAACAAATACGTGCCTTTTATTTTGGCACGATGCACCGAAATCGTTGAAACACGTGGCTTAGCCATCGTCGGAATCTATCGGATTCCGGGCAATACAGCGGCGATATCAGCACTTACTGAGCTCGTGAACAAAGGATTCGATGATCAAACACTGAACGATCCACGATGGGAAGATGTAAATGTTGTGTCTAGCTTACTGAAACTATTTTTGCGTCGCTTGCCAGAAGCCCTGATTTCGAACGATATGTACAAGCATTTCATTGAAGCTGATAATCAAACTGGACAAAGAAGGTTGAAGTCTCATTCATTCTACTTTTAACGATGTTTCCTATATCATCTAAATGATAATCTATCATGTTTACTCCATTAACAGATTAACAGCGCTGAAAGAACTGGTCGACAATATTTCGATTCAGTTTTATGAATCGCTAAAGCATCTAATGCATCACTTATTTTTAGTGAGCCAAAATTGCCAAATCAATCTGATGGAACCGAAAAATTTGGCCATCATTTTTGGGCCGTCGGTTGTGCGCAGTTGCAACGAAACTCTAGAAATAGTGGTGAAAGATATGAAACATCAATGTCGCATTGTTGAGGCGCTTGTTTCACATGTAAGTGTTTTTCATTTCACTTTAATTAGTTTTGAAAAAGTGTGAAAAAAAAACCATCGCGTTCTCATGTATTGTAATCATCTTTTCAGTACGAATACTTTTTCGAGAATGGTGAAGTGCCCAAGGTGTGCGAACAACCAGAAGCAATAACTGCCCCGAAATCCCAGACGAACCTACTGCTAGATAATGTCTCCAAAATTGAATGTAAGCCCATAGAATCATAACACCCTTGAATTATATGTTCTAACCAATTTGATTTTTACGCAGCATACACTGATCAAATGGAGAAAACACGTTTTGTATTCAAATTTGTGCAAGCAGCTCGAAGTCGAAAGTCAAAGAAGAAGCAAACATCGTTATTATCCTCAATGACCTCTGACACAATGTCAATGGATAGCAGTAGCACGGTGAGTGTGCACTTGACTTATTAATCACTGAAGATTGGATTCATTGCCATTTTTGTGTGAAATTGAATTGGCGCTTCGAAGTTCTTTAGAACGGACGAAGAGCCTCCGAAAAATGAATAAAATTAACATTTGACAATTTCTTCATACGCAGTCAACGGAATACCGAGATTCATCGATAACGAAAGTAGAGAATTTAACCGATGTTGATGGCCTACAAAGCAGTTTATCTGCTGACGATTCAGCCGATTTATTCTGCGAAGATAGTGGTATGTATTTCATTCCGAGTTCATTTTACAAAACGGTTCAACAAAATTGCTTATCATTTTCTCATTTCTCCAGGGTCAATGTCATTGGCAACGTTAATTCCAGCATTGGAAGACAAATTTTATGCGTTGCACAATGGATCCTTTGATTCCGAATCGGGGCAATGTTTGGATAACGGTGATACAACCGATTCAACGTCACCGCTAACACCGTCGATGCTACGAAGTCACCAAATCATCTCATTGCAACCGTTGACAATTGGAGACGAAACAATTCCATACGCAGACGATTCACCGGATCAGCCCACAATACCAGCGATAAATGACAAACCGATTGAAACTCAAACACATAGTTATCCTTATGTAACGGTACGTAATAAGCCATGGAATCCAGCCCATTCAAATCGAATAATTAGCACCAAAGCGTATCGGAATCAAGACGCCGTCGATGCAAAATCAATCAATTCTATTTCGTCAGATGACAACGACACAGACGAATCCAATACCAGCGATCACGAAGGCAACCGAACCATTCGAATAAACAGCGAAGTGATTCGAGAAATGAATCGCATTCTCACAACGTTGGAACGCAAAGCAACCAAACTGAATCGGTCACTTTCACTGAATATTAAGTATCATCACAATGAGTGCTGCTGCAACAGCGGCCACATTTTATCGAATAGTAACCACAGTAGTTGCCGATCGATCGCAATGAATCGGTATTCGCTGACAAAAGACGAGAAGACTGATAAAAATATCAATTTAGCGAAGAAGCGCCAAATTCAAGACAATAATCACAAACAACGGCGTTACACGAATCGACCGATCAAGCGACGACACACCGTCGGTGGCATTCACTACGGTTATAATAGCAAAGCGCATCCTGTCGAAGCAACGCCAGCACGATAACACCAATACATATGCCAATTCAAACGAAATCCGTAATTTTGTAAAACGAAAAATGAAGTGAAGTACTCGGCGAATGTTAAAAACGAAAAAAAAACAAACAAAACAAAACTCATTGAAAATTATTCGCTTTTTTTTGTTCACGTTTATATATTTCACATGGCTTGGTACTTTTTTTTATAAATATTTATTCGTAATATTTAATTTTTTTATACGAATTTGTTTTGTCAAAGGAAGAAAAATCAAAAAATAGATGAATAAAAAAAATCAAAATATTTTTGCACGTCAAAGAAGTTGAAGTTTTATTGTTGTTCCATTTTACCGGCTGACAGTCGGGTTACCATGGAAACGCAGCAAAGCTGTTTGGTTGCTATTACAACGGTAACGTATTTCACTTGAAAATAAAAGGTCCTATTAAATCAATCTCGTTCCATTTTCGAGTTGTGTAATTCCGTACATTGATTGAATTTTTGAAGATATAATTAGTTGAATTGGAAAAAAAATGTCGAATAAAACATACAACGATCTTTGGCATTCAACACAAAAATTATTAGAAAGCTTAGCGGTGAATGATTACCAAAAGTTGGCACACGACCCGGAATTTGATCGTTCTGTGGCGCAGCGTATGGTTTTTGAATTGTATGCCAAATACATTGTTGCGGCAAATCGACTGGAAAATGTCTACGATCAAATGGTGCAACCTCAGAAACGAATCGTCGTACGAAAGCTGCTCGATGCAGCACTCGGTCGTATCATTGAATTGAAACATGACTTGGTTTCCATCGACATGATGGAGTTTAGCTACAATGATGATGTGATAAGAGAATTAAAATTGGTTCCGCAAGATTTGGAGCTGAAAATTCCGCGGTATTTCCTACGCGAAACCCAAGAAGATGTTACTTACAAAAAGAAATTCATCGATGATATTCTCATTAAGATCGGTTGGCTCGATGAAGAGGTGATTGAAGAGAAAATGACGGAATTAGAAGCCATTCACATCATACAGATGCATGAAAGAGCAAGACAGGGGCGATTGCGGTAGGTTTACATTTGCTAACAATGCATTAAGTGTTAATATGAAGAGATTGATTGAAACATTTCGATGGATAGCGCTCAATTTATGAAAGAAATCAAGCAATTGAAAGAAAAAGGCAAACCGGATGCAGTCAAAGATCGAACCGATGGTTTGGTTGCGGCAATGCGTATTCAGAAAGTTTGGCGTGGTTTCACGACCAGACGCAAAACTCGGCATGGTAAGGTCGAGGAAATGTACTTAATCGGAATGATCCCAAGGCCAGAGAGGAATAACGAAGCTCTTCTTGATCATGAACGAAAGGTTTGTAACATTTTGTACCGTGTTTCATCTCAATTACTTTGTATATTTGCCTAAAATTCAGATGAAAATAATTTTTTTTTTTTAAATTGATGTTCAGCGATGTGAAAGACGGTATGGAATCCAAGAGTCGTATCGCATAAGCTACGAAAACGCCGTGAAAGAAGCGAAAGAGGATATTTTAAACAAGTATTCAACGACATTGAGCGAGCAAATTGCCGACGAAATCCGAAATTGGTTCAGAGAGTATCAGAATCGTTCGGGAAAATTTCCGGAATTTCCAACCGAAGAAAACGGCGGCTCAAGGCAGTTGTTATCAAGACAAGGTGATTTTTGGAATCAAGCATGTTCAAAATATCCAAGAAAACCGTAACAACTTCGTTATAATTTAAATTTCATTTGATTGAAATGATGCTAATGAGATTAGTTCGTTCAATTGTTTTTTACCTTCATATGAATTTGTCTGTATGTTTTTGTTTCAGACAGTGAATTAAGTCGTTCGTCGCCCGTTTCGTCACGCGACTCAAAGAAGACGAAAGACAAATCGAAAACCCCAACCAAAATCATTGACTTGATGGCCGAGGTGAACTTTGAGAGCGGATTCAAGATGAATCAGTCATCTTTTTTAAATGAAATTAAATTTCAAATCGATGAGTAGGTTTTTTTCGTACATAATTCGCTCTTAATCACTCAGCCGTCAGCTTAATTTCATTTGATGCAGGTTCAATGACGTGTGGAAAGAGAAAGATGAGTCGATGAATCCCGCTCAAACCTACTACAAAAATATGATATACACCGATAAGTATGCAGAGGCTGAGCGCGAATTGCGTATTGTAATCGATAATTTGATGCGTCAAGAGTTGGAATTGCTTCAAGTGGCATTGGAACGTGATCGAACGCAAAAGGGTAAAAAATCAAAAAAGAACAATAAAAAGGCACGTCGCAGCGGTAAGAAGAGTAAAAAGAAGAAAGAGAAAGACTTGACGCCTGACCGCACAACCGAATCTTTGTTTGAAGAACTCGTCACAAATGGAATAATTCGGAAAATACCAGAAACACGATTGAGCTCATTCTTGGGCGATAGAGCTTATGCCAAGCGGTCTGGCATCAATCCAACACCGGGCGATATTCGACAAGTGTTGACCGAATACGCTATTCTACCTTTGGGCTCCGAAACAATTCGTTGCAATGCTCCGTGCATTCGCTCAATTTTAATAGCAGGCCCAAAGAAATCCGGTAAAAAATCTCTTGTTTATAGTATTTGCAATGAGGTCGGTGCTCTGCTTTTTGACCTCACGCCAGCTAATATTGTTGGCAAATATCCCGGGAAGTCTGGCTTGATAATGCTCATGCATTTAGTCTTGAAAGTATCCCGTCTGCTGCAACCGTGTGTGATTTTCATGGATAATGCCGAAGCCCCGTTTATGAAGAAAATCCCAAAGGGTGATCGCACTGATCCGAAAAGGCTGAAAAAAGACTTACCAAAATTGATAAAAAATATTGGCGAAGAAGATCGCGTATTGTTCATTGGTACCTCGACTGCACCGTGGGAGGCTGATCAGAAATTACTGCAACAAACTTACAATCGTTTCATTTATATACCAAAACCGGATTATGGAACGTTGTCATTTGTTTGGAAAAATTTGTTACTGTATGCTCGACAATTGAAATTCTGCGTGATATTGAATGCATTTTCAAAATGGAAATCAACATTTTTTTTCTTCCAGGAAATACAATGGAATCAGTCCGAATTTTGATACCGCAGCTATTGCTCGTCTTTCAGATGGATACACAATCGGTTCAATCGTTCAATGTTTGAATGACGTTCTCACATGCAAGCGCATTCTACAGTTCCGTGTTCAACCGTTGGCTCATGTTGAATTAATAGGCGCTTTAAGGTACAATAACACTTTCGCAGGCACATTTTAACTTTTGCAGTAAATGTTATTGTAGATTTGTTTTGCATGTTTTTTCAATATAATTTGTGTTAGCCTAAGAGATCCAGTATACCGTGAAGAAGAAGAAGCGTTCACATCGTGGTGGTCCAAAACTCCGCTTGGAAGAAGATGTCAAAAAGCAATTGAAGTGGAAGCACAAGCGAGGCTTGAAAAAGAGACTGGTGCTGACAAAAAGCGCAGAAAATAAATCATTAAATCTGTTTGTGATGTGTGGCTTACAGAATGTGACATTCATTTGTGCAAAAACAAAACAAAACACAATTTGGAAAAATAATTTTTCTTCTCAGAAATGAAAAGAGGCAATTTAAAATTAAATGATATTCTCTGGAGTAAAACAACACTCTTTAATTTTAGAAAATTAAATCATCAAGTCTTCATCTCCCAATTGTTTTTAGTCTCTCTCCATCCCATCTCGTTCTGTTCTTTCGTTGTAATAGTCTTATACAAGTTTTCGGAGTTCACGCTCTTTTTCAGCTTGCTTGCTTCAGCCAACATCTAAAAATTAGACGTAAGTGACAAGGAAGTTATCTTGGCATGATAAGATTGCAAAAAGTACATTAAAAAATAGTTGAAAGGATAACTCGAAATCTAACATTACATACAGTGACAAAAAATAATATGGTGCGATCGTGAGCTTACAATAGGTATTATCAGTTATGTACTCACAAATCAACACAAACTATTGATGATGACGGCAAATAATCATGTTACGGAGATAAGCTTATTGTTCTTCGATTAGATGTCACAGTGAACTTATCACCAGGTCGCATCGGAGTGTCGAGCTTACGAATTCCCCACGTTTAAACTCTAATGCGAGATAGAACTAGTGACATTTTATGACCACAATGTAGAGCACACAATCCTTCAAATGGCTTGTGAAAGTAGTCAAATAACCAGAAAATTGTCGCAGTTTAATTCGGCGGGCAATTTTCGATTTTAAACCCTAGTCTACAGTCCTTTTCTAAAACCTTATTTTACAGTCCTCGGGTCTGGCCAGAATACATTTACATGCATTTGTATGGGAATAAGTGATGCATGTCATCTCATTTTTAACGGAACTGATAAGAGATAAGTGATATATGTCTCCAGCAAAGTTGTAGAGCAGGTCAAGCACTACAATTTTTTCCCAAAGACATTATCTTCTTATCTCTTATCAGTTCCGTGAATAATGAGAAGGGGAATTTTTTGCGATTTTTTGATAGTATCACACCCGTCTCGCACCTCTAATTCGTTTATTCGGCTCATAATAAAGCGCTTTGAATGATAGTTTTTTTTCATTTTGCTGCGAAAATAGCGGAAGAAAAGTTCAAAGTGGTCCATCCAAATGTGAAATATCAAAACACATATTTTCGAATGATACAAAAAAAACACATTAGTATTTGATTTATTGAATTTTTTTAAATGAATATGTCACTTTCTGCTAGTCATAAGAATATGCAACCATTTGGAATTTTTTCTCAGAACACTAGGTTGGACATCGATTAAGCCATCATAACAAGTGATGAAAACCACACATAAGTCTTTAGCTAGGGCTAATACTTTATCGTAATTTTCGTGATCAATCATCATTCTTTGCGCAGTAACGATGAGTTTATTTAGATTTCGATGTCGTTCTAAAATCTGCTTTACACCAGCTATAGTCACTTCACCTTCAATGAATAATTCCTGTAGTCCATGTAATTGTCCTACCATGTTTTCAGGCACGTTCAAAAGATTAAGTTTTTTCAGCTGCTGAAGCCTCGGTAAACTTTCAACAAAGTCAGGGTATGCTCCATGAATCTGCAAATTCTCAATGGGTACGTTATTTTCAGCAAATGAATCAATTAGCAATTTCGCGGAAAATGGTGCTCTCTTGCACTCTATACGTAGGTTTTGTAGTTTTTGCAGTCCACTCAAATGCATAATATCCGCTGCTAGATTATTCATCAAAAATTGGTCTTTGTTACAGATCAAAGTTAAATCCGTAAGATCGGGTGTACGATTTCCAATGTCGCGGACTATTAAAGATGTGATGCATACATTTGGATATAAACAAGTGAGCCACAGTTTTTTTAGTTGTGGATTATGTGTTTGAAATCTGATGAACGCATCATCGGATGAACCCTCAATTGAGCAGAATACAGCCTTTTTCAATTTGGGAAATGTTCGAGCAAACAGATTGGCATGCTTAATCTTGCAACTTCTTACCTCCAAAAGTTTTAACTCTGGAAAAGTTGCTAAATTATAGACAAGTCCTGTCGCTATTGATAATCTTTCCAAAACCTTAAACTGGGACCTTGTGTTGAAGTCAATATACCCGGTATGAGTTGAAAGTTTGGTTAAATTTCTTCCACAAAAATCAGCGATCATGTTGAGAGTATCGTCAATTGGTTTTTGGTCAGCGGTATAATTTTCATCGAATATATATTTTTCATCACGTATTGAAACCAAATAAATGGACTGAAGGGATTGACCAAAAGCCTTCAAGAAACCGTATGCTCGATCGAATGAAACGCTACCAGGTGGCAGAGATGACGATTGATGGCTAGTAATCGTGATCCTCTTCTCACTCGACTCTGAATAGCAAACGGTGGCATTCTCTTGGAAACGTTTACATACTTCAGATGCACTTAAAAAGTCTTCTAGGTTTGATATCAGTTGATTGAAGATCTCTTGAATGCATTTATCATTAAGAACGTTCAGTATATGCTTTGGGGAATCTTGAGCCGGTGGTATCAATTTTGAGTCATCCATTGTTTCTTCGACACTAATCTGTTAACGAAATAGTTAAAGAATTACTATAATATTCTTCTACTAAATGTGAAAGAAAGTAAAAAAAATCCCAAAAGATAGATCTTTGACGCATTATGTAAAGAAATATTATCATATTTTAAAAGTTTAAACAACGGATTGTATTTTTTGTTGTTGAAATGAATTTATTCCACGGGATCTCACACATTGAGTAGCAAACATGTTTGTTGATAATGCTACACGTGCAGAATTGATGCAATATTTTGTGCATTGAAAAACAATAACAACAAATCGTATTTACTTACTATATTTTGTTTAGCTCTGCTATTTCAGCCACTTGTCAATGTATGACATATTCGTACTACCAACCTTATGGTAAATGACAAATGATATTGTATTCCTTTTGGTTGAAAACAAGAAAAAAAAACTTAAACAATAAAGCCAAAATTTTGAATATATTTTTACGAATCCAAAATAATTTAAGCAATTGAATATTTTGTAACTGCTAAAAAGTCGTAAGTCATCTCGACATTTAACCTTTAATGCTTTCAGACGCCTTTATTTGATACAAACTAAAAAAAAATCGGAGTTTTGACATTGGGTGTAACAATCAGCGAGTGAATTTACTTAAAGACCAGCTTGTAATCCAAAACCAGGTCCTTTCGGTTCTTCGGTGAGTGACGACAATTCTCCTGCTGGCTCCGAAGCATATCGGCCGCTGCGTGGGCCAGGTCGTGGTTCTTTTCCATCGATCAAATCTTGCAAAATTTCTTCGGTATCTTTAGCCGTCAAATCTTCCTGTAAGCGAGTATTGAAAATATATTAAGATCCATTGAAGATACGGAAAAAACAAGTCTTGATATTCAACTTACGTAGTAATCATCATTGATAGCCATCATTGGAGCATTTACACAAGCTCCCAAGCACTCAACTTCCGATATTGTGAACAGTTTGTCTTTCGTCGTTTCACCGACATTAATTCCTAGTTTTTGCTATCGAGCGACGCAATAATTGAAACAAGGTATTAGATAATGCATACAAATGGTAAGGTAAATCATTTCTGCTTACTCGGCATGTGTTAAGAACAACGTCTGAGTTCCGCAACCAACATGGTGTAGTTGTGCACACTTGTATGTGGTATTTTCCGGTTGGTTTACGCAAAAACATCGTATAGAATGTGGCCACTTCATAGACACGCATATTGGGCAAGTCTAGAATCTCGGCCACTTTGTGCATAGCAGAGATCGGCAACCAGCCGTATTGGCGTTGAGCTAAGTCTAGCAATGGAATCATTGCACCACGCTTATGACCCTCCGGGTAAATGCTTAAAATTGCATCAACACGCTGAAATTTGCATAGAAAAAAGTATACAGTCCATTTGATTACGCGTATTCAGTCAACTAATGGTTTAAACTTTGAAAATTCGGGGGCTACCTTTTGATTTTCTGGTGTAAATTCGAATTTGATGCCCGGATTATCTTCAGGTGTATCACGATGGACGAATAAACTATCGCTGCATACTGCCGCAGATGATTGGATTCCACGCACATTTCTCAACTGCAACATAGACAAATAATATACAATAAAACATTTCCACATGAAGAGTACGCATAAAAACCAAGTGTTTTGGTTATATTCATCTCTGTATATCGATGTAGTTACATAACAAGTAACAAAAACAATCCCAAATTTGATGTAAAATAATTAAAACTAAATTTTCATAAACTGTTTACCGCTGTTGAGATGATTCGTCTGGTTCCACTAAGCATGATGACTAAAATTTACAGCGAAATTTTTTCAGAAGACCTGGAATTCACGACTATTTTCTTTTTTCTGCCACACAAAATATCAAATAAAAAGCAGTGTGACGGTCGATAGAGCGCCTGTCAAACGAACTGTCAACGGCAATCAGACAGTTCTCGATGGGATATTTTTTTTCGTTTTGTTTATACCACTGCATACAACATATAGCATATACCATCACAAACCGCAACATTGCCGCCATTTTGGAAGTGGAAAAAATATAGCGAAATTTTGTTTTTTGTTCATACAATTTGAAGCAGTCTGCTTTTTTCTTTTGCAAATGCAATCGAAATTTTTCATTTGAATTGACAAGTGAAACTATTGAGAGAAAAATATTTCAACGATCTTCCAGTGGGACGGACATATTGAGCTATGGGGAGAGTACGAACAGCGGCTGCAAAAAAATACATTGAAAAAACACCGAATAGTGATGAGGACAAAAGTTTGGTGGATGTGAAACGATCATCACGGGCAAAGGGGACATCCAATAAAATCCAAGCTACTCCGCGCGCTTCATCAAGCCGTACGAGTCGCGCCACAAGGAACTCTGCGGTGAACGATAAACAAAATGGAAAAAATGTTAAAAATGGTGTTACAACCTCTAGTTCATCGGACTCAGAAGATGACGCTCTAATTGTGAATCGTAAGCGAAAGACATCAAACGAAAATGTGAGCCCGAAAAAGGCAAAGCCGAGCACATCTACAGCGGCAAAGAGCAAACCGACGGGAAACAAGCCGCAGAAGGCTGGTCCATCGAAAAAGAAAAAGGGTGAAGAAGATCGATACGAGGTTGAGGCCATTCTGGACCATAAAATCGAAGGTAATGTCAAGTATTTCTTGATCCGCTGGAAAGGATACGATTCAAGTGTCGACAGCTGGGAAAGTCAGTACAGCATTTCGTGCCCGGCACTTCTTGCTAAATATTACGAAGAAGTATGTATACGATTGGTTTTTTTCCTCAATGTTCACTCATTGTGTCAATTTTGTATTGATTTTGTATTGATTTAACTCAATCGCAGCACCCCGATGCAAGTATTTCAGCAAGAAAGCGCAGCAAGAAACGAAAGCCAGTGGTTCCAAAACCACGCCAGCTCAAAATCGATGAGCAGCTCGACTACAATTCCGATTGGGATGAAAACGAAGACTATGAAGTTGAACGTATCATGGACGTCTATATACATCGAAACAATAAACGGGAATTTTTGATTCGCTGGAAAGGTTTCTCATCCAACTCTGATTCATGGGAGCCGGAAGAGAATTTAGATTGCAAAGATTTGATCGACAAATTCATGAGCAAAGTGGATCAAGTTAAAAATCTCACTCAAAAAGAATTACGACCAGTTCGTTCACAGACACAAAGGTTTACTTTGATGACACAGGCCGCTGCACGCCGTCTATCAAAGCGAAATGTTGGCCGACAACGGTGAGAAAATACACACATTCTATTGACCATCAAATATTTAACTAATTTACTGTTATTTTTTTTCTTGCAGAACGGTCTACTACGATTGCGACGAGTAATCACTTTGCCATTGCTCCATTTTCACCACTACACATTTTTTTCCCCCTAAATCATTGAGTCATCGAATTGTTTCTCTTTCTAAGGGCCGAAATTCATACCACACTTTTGTGCCGTATCATCGATTTTTTCAATCACTTCAATCGCCCCATGCAATCGAAATAGTTGACTATTTATTGAAACAACATTGCACCTAGATTTTTCAAAATTTATTTTCACAAGTGAAAACTATACAATTTATTCCCAATTTTACAAAATAACTTTTCCACATCAATTGTGAGATTTGAGTCATCAATCGACGATAGGTGCTCTAATAGTTTACAAAATTGAGGTAGTAGTGCGTGAAGTTCATTTCTTCTATCTCCAAGGCACCACAGAAGGCTAACATGGAAAGATGCTTCCTGAAAATAGATTTTATGTAAATTTAAGCAACTAAAATTGAGCGCGTTATTTTTTGGTTCTAATTGTACTTACCTTATAAAAAGAAGGCAATTTAAATTCTTTCAGGCAACTATCCAATTGGTTTACAATGTTCTGTAAATTTTGGGTGGAATTTGTATTCTTTTCGGCAAATGATAGGCTTATAAATGTCCTGGTTTGGTTATCGTTGCAATAGATTTGAATCGAACTTAAATTTATCCAAAATCTAAATCATTTTTCAAAAAATATGAAAACAAAACGAATGTATCAATTAAATATTTTCAATAAATGTTAAAGTAAAGTATATGAGATGAACACCTGTTTGTGTTTCTTAACTTTTGTTCCACACTTCGAACAAATTCGTCGATCCAATGATGTTGCAGGACAACCGTTCGTGTCAGGCTCAGATGTAACTCCTCATTTGGATGAAATTCAATAGTTTCCAATGTACTTGTTGATTTTATTTGATCGAGCAACTCATTTTGCAATCGGACGATGAAGTCTGTCTTCGGATCTGGTTTTGAGAAACAAACAAATTAATGTATGGATAGAGTTAACTAAATGTTTCAATGACCATCGTAATTTGTTCACTTACAGTGAATATAAATGTAAGTGGCCCAATTGCCACGTTCATGGGGAAATAACCGTATCCTTCCGTTGTGTTTAGCTGAACCATCGTCTTCTTGCTTATTGACTTCATTTGTTTTTTGAAAAGGATTTGGCAGTTTGCTGGAATTTAATGGAAATTAAAAACATGTTTGCTATTTCCATATACCATTAAAGTACCTTTTAGGCAGTGGTGGATTTTTCTGTACTTCAATCTCTTCATCTGAAGAGCTATCACTGTAATTTACTAAATTTAAAGACATTTTTCTACGACCGATTTGCCGCTGTTCATCTAACAAAATTGTATGAATCCTACATTGGGAATGTTTTGGTTCGCTATTCAACGGCCTGTCACTGAAATGGGATAAATTTGCACTCACATGTTATCTGTCAAGTTGCGCGTGCGTTGAACGCACCCATTTCTATCAAAACAAATTTGACAAGTTTAAAACATGTGAATTGATATCAAAATTTGGACTTCAAGATTAATTTGTTTGTAAAACACAATCAATCTCTTTACAGTTTTTATTAAAATGTCTACGAATGCAACAAATATCAAGGATTTGGAGAATGAAATTGAAGCACTTAGTGCAACGTTAGAGACAAAGAAGGAGGAATTGCAGCGACTACGTGAATCAGAGAAGCAAAGTGCACCGGCGGTCAATACCAGTTTGTTAACCAATTCTGAAATAAGTCGATTTAGCCGGCAAATTATTTTGCCTGAAATTGGTGTCAAGGGCCAAATTGCGCTAAGAAATGCCAATGTGTTGATTGTTGGAGCTGGTGGATTGGGTAAATATCGAAATTAACATAATCAAAAATCAAAATTTTTTCATGAAAAAAAAGTCGAATAACTTTTGAATTTCATTTTTGAATTGTTCAGGTTGTCCATCGGCTTTGTACTTGTGTGGAGCTGGGATTGGTCACATTGGGATCGTCGACTATGATACTGTTGAGTTGAATAACCTTCATCGTCAAATTGTGCATCAAGAGCAGAGCATTGGCATTCCAAAATCGGTGTCGATCAAAGAGCATCTTGCGAAACTAAATTCGTCAATAAAAGTGACTGCATATCAAGAGCAACTGAACTCACAAAATGCCCTGGAAATCACTCAAAACTATGACATTGTGTTGGATGCCACCGACAATGTAGCAACGCGGTATTTATTGAATGATGCTTGTGTTTTCGGTGCAAAGCCGTTAGTTTCAGGCAGTGCATTACAATTCGAAGGCCAACTTACGGTCTATAACTATCGAAATGGTCCTTGCTATCGCTGTCTATTCCCAAAACCACCTCCGCCAGAAACGGTATTTTCAATCCATTTTTTTTTCTTTCAACTAAATCAACCAAACGATAATTTTAATTAATTTAAAAAAAAAATATTTTAAAAGGTAATGAATTGCGGTGACGGTGGTGTCATTGGTGCTATTACTGGGGTAATTGGGACTTTATTACTCTATAATTTTTTCACGAGAAATCGCCGCTTTTTTTTCTTATTTTGATATCAATCGAAGAACTGTTTGGTTGCTTAAAAATCGATCATTTCTTAACCAACGATACTTATTTTTCACGAAAAGAGCGACAATTTAATAAGAAACTTTCATTCAAAGTCGGCCAATTTGTACGTTTATTTTGGCTAATGAAAATACGTATTGTGTAACGATAAATTTTTCTATTGATTTTATTTTATATGAAATACCAAATTAATACACATTCCTTCTTTATTTATCTCTTATTCAACTCAAATATTCTAGATAATTGGGACTTTGCAAGCACTCGAGGCAATCAAAATAATAACTGGCATTGAAACCACCCTGAGTGGTCGACTTCTTTTATTCGATGGAATTAACTCAACATTCCGCAATGTAAAACTTCGGAGAAAATCAGTGAATTGTGAAGTCTGCGCTGAACCGAGAAAAATTACTTCATTGATAGACTATGAACAGTTTTGTGGAATGAAAGCATCCGACAAAGATATGAAACTGGAAATACTACCGCAAAATCAGAGAGTCTCAGTTCAAATTCTCAACGAAAGACGCCAGAATAATGATCGTCATTTGTTGATCGATGTACGATCGGAGAATGAGTACGAAATTTGTCAATTGAATCGGTCGGAAAATTATCCAATCAAAATATTTCAAGATGAAAATAGCATCAGCAGAAAGGCTCTTGTCGATAGAATAAAAGGAGAAAAAATTCCACAGGTGTATGTCATTTGCCGACGAGGAAACGATTCACAAATTGCTGCCAAGAAACTTATCGAAGAACTAGATGAGTCCACAGCTACTAAGGTTCATGATATCATTGGTGGATTACATGCATGGACACATCACATTGATACAAATTTTCCAAAATATTAAATTTGAATGGACGATATTTTAAAAGATTTTCTATTTGTAATAAAAAAATATAAAATGGCGTTATTTTAATTAGTTCAAAATCGATTTGCTTACTAGCTTTTGAGCGAGATAACAAATATAGCCATGACAACGTTTTTTAAAAATACTAGCGTTACAATAACGCAAGACAATGAAAATTTCAATTGATTCGGCTGCTTTACCTATTAAATATATACTGTAGTTGATGGAACATCAACGTTATGGATTTCTAGACAAAATGGTATAATTTAATATTGGTCGTATTAAACAGGTCGTAATTTGTATTTGTGATAATATATTTCAACATTTTTTCATTTTCCGAATTGTCAAGTGTCAACACATTGAAATAAAAGTGCCCAATATCAATATACAAGTTGCTTATCTCCCTGATGGTGTTGGCATAGATGGGATCTAAAATCCTAATTTTTGTAGCATCTTTGAATGCATCGTGGCACTCTCCACGGTCGCAATGTAGTTTCTTGCACTGGACTAGGCACCAGTGGTCTCGATCTTCTGTTATGGTGCTGTGGGCACAGCTAATGTCTATAAGCAGAAAAAAACACAATTTTTAAAATGTCATAATCAAAATATTTCAATTAATCAACTCCCGCGCTATGGCACCGCTGAAAACTTGTTATTAATCATTTCCCTACCCGTTTGATAGCTTTTTCGCCCTGCAACGACAGCAAAGATCACACTGAAATTTTTCTTATTATTTTATTCGTATTCGTGGTTGAAAACTTGCAAAGAAAATTGTAAGAGAATTTAATACAAAACTGTAATTTCAATAGAAATACTCAAAACTAAGAGCTCAAGATAAATTTCAAACTGCGCTTCGCTATTGTTGTCTTCCTATGTGTATCTTTGTCTTATGCCAGAGCCTCACCGACTTTTGGTGATAGCGCCAAGTAAGTTTGACGCCGAAATTGTAAAATAGTTCAATTTTTGTTCTGTCTTGTTTATTTAGTTTGTTTGTTTCTATATTTTCTGCCAATTCAGATCCAATGGTCCAGTTGGAAGGAATAACGTAGTGCGCTCTCCTCTTACCGATTGTGATAACTTTACTTGCAGCTCGCAATGTAGAGCCTTTGGCTCTTCAGGCGGAATCTGCATTCTAGGAAGATGCATCTGCACACCATAACATTAATTAATGATGAAATCTGCTTGGCCGTTTATACCATGGTTGATCAAATGGAAATCTGTGAATATTCAATATCTTGGAAATAAACAGGCAAAAACCAAAAAAGTGTTCTCCTTTTTTTCTAACACTTGTTATGAGTGAGATTTACTCATCACACTAAAGGAGACAATCAAATTATGAATGAGAATTGGGGCTGAAACGACAACCAGCGCAGCAAAATCGACATTCATCATACTTTCGATTGTTAGTTGCCTTAATATATCCGTAGTCATATCCATTTGAATTCAGCTCTGTTTTGACGTTGAAAGTTGAAATTTGTTCGAAAAAATATTCCTGTAGAGAAGTAAACGAATAGTTCACGCACATCCTTAGAACGTTGATTTTGTTTTTAAAAACCAACCAATATTGCTATGACTCAATGAATAGTTGAACGAAATGAAAGTAAAATCCATAAAATAGTTTTGAATTTTGAATAATTTATTAGATTTTATGGCTAAATCGTATCGACACTGTTTGTTCTCGACAATTTCGAATGTGTTAATTGTTTGGAATGAATCGAGCAGATTTAAGCTAAAGCCTTCTTTTCCAAATAGCATGCGTACAATTTGATTGGGTTTTCGTCTTTGTTATCACCGATGACTGATTTGCATTGCTTGACGATCTCTTCAACTTTAGCTTTGTCTTCACCTTTTGACAACTTTTCGATGGCTACATTCTCTTGGAAATCGCCTTTGCTATCGATGAAGCCCAATTTGGTGAGGAAACATTTGCCGAATTTCTGAAGAAAAAAATCGGTTACAATCAATTACGGTTTCTACGTAATGAAGTACTTATATCAAATATTATCGTGATTAAGACCAACCTGTGCTTTTGGATCGGACACTTGGCTCTTGGGGTTGGTGCGAATTTTTTGCACTTCGTCAGCACTTAGACCATTTTCACTGGCACAATCTTTGGCTACCTTATCGGCAACTTGTCGTTGTTCATCTGTAACGGCCTAAAAGCAACGAAATCAACTATTATTAATGACTAAACTCAAATGAACAATAACTATTATTACAACTGAGTCACTTGTAAAACCAATCAACTTACAGCAACGCTGCAAATTACAGCAAAACACAAAGCTGCTACAAAGTATTTCATGGTGAAGTTGGTTTGATTCGAACGTTAGGTTGAATAACTGAATAGACCGCTTGGTTGCAGTGAACTGATATCGACATTGTAGCTTCCTATCCTATTTATAGTAAATCTTTCCGTTCAATTCTTAATCAGCTGAATAGAATGAAACGAAATTGAAATCGAGAAACGCAAACAGTAAAAAAAAACAATGCACGATTCGGAATTGCTAATGAAATTCAGTAGTTTTTCCATTGAAACTGAATTTTGTGGAGGGGAAAGAGATGCGAACGTAAACGTAATTGATTGACAAAGGTAGGTGATTAAAAACATGCTCTTCAAATGCAATTTGTTTGTTCGCCGCGTCAGTGACAACAAAAAAACCGGCACTAGAACCGTAACCTTTTTCACACTCCATTCTCGGCATTTGTAAGATACGGTTTTGTGCTTGTTTTTACTTTTATTACTCGGAAAACTTGCGTGAAATTCAATGATTACCGATCGAGAAATATTGGATGTTTTTTTTTTCAAGTTAGATACAATGCCAGTGGAAAGTGCACGCAATGTATATGCTAATTTATTTTATTCTACCTTAGCACTTTACATTGTATTTCGCCAAAGGACAACACGTGAGGCAATCAATTTTATTAATAATTATTCCAAATGATCTTTTGTTCACTTTGTAATGTACGTCTTTACTTAATTGCGGATCTTATCTCGGTAGTTTCTCATAGATAAACAGTTGCAATTCCAAAAATTGGGCAAGAATTTACAAAAATGTGGGTTATTTAATTGCCGTGTAAAGTTTATGTTATTTAATTGCTTTTTGAGAATACTCAATCGGCATTTTTCTAGAAGTTTTCTCGTATGAGTATAATATTCCATTCCTTTCGATATGATACGAATCAAAATGTACATTGTACAATCTTGTTGTTCTTATTACTAAAACTTCACCGAAGCCATTCAAAATTTAGCAGAACAGCTGAAACATCAATTAAATAAATTAAAGTTCCATTGAAGGCACTAATTCATCACATCTTAATTTATAAATCGCTTATTGGCTTTGTGGTTAGCGATGATTTTGCATTGCGGTTAACCTTCAAAAACGCCATATTAACGATTAGATAAATAAGATTTCAATTAATAAGATTTCAATCGATTGCGAAAAACCCGTGTGATTCGTTTCCTACCAAATTCTTGAAATAAATTCAAATGTTAAATTTCTGGTACAGCAAAGTGTCAATAAGTAGAATTGCACAAACTCAATAAGAACAGACGTGATTTCTTAAATCGGTCTAGTATAAATATCTTTATTTCAAGATAAAACTACATGTCAATACAATCGGTTGAGTATTTATGAGATAACTATCATAGTAAAATTTTCCATTCAATTTCATAAAATATTGGATGAGGTTTTATTTGAAAAAAGATGGAAGATTCAATAAAGTCAAAGAAGAAATGTTCATTAATAGAGATACAAAAAATTTTGGCAAATAACTTGTTGAATTGTTGGTTAAAAACAGTCAAAAATAAAATATTTTAGCAGTGTTTATCAGTTCGGAGCCGCAAGTGGCTCAATTTAGAATAAAATATCTAGTGGTACATTCTTTTCGATGTATCGAGTCCAAAATTGCTTATTTTAATTCATAAAATCTATGAGATTAAGTATTAGACGAAGATGCTACTTATAGGACTGATGTGTGTTATAGGATAGCTATATTCGCTTTATGGCAGCAAGAGTTTCTTTAACTTTTCCATTTTTTCCGATTCACTTAACTGCTTGCTACTGATTGTGTTCTTCCGGACGATTGTCGGCTGGTTGCGCTTTTTCAAGGGCAACAGTTGATGCATTTCGGTGCATTCATCATCTTGATTATTGTGATAATGTGATTGAAGCTTCTCCGGCAAGTAGTCTTTGTCGCAATCGTCACGGGAGTGCGAACGAACCCTTGCATGCGATGCAATATCATAGTCGTTGGCCTGAATGCCAACATCGCAGCTTCCCTTGCTATTTTGAGATTGTGTTTTCATGCGATTCATTGACTGATCAGAGAATGAGCTTTGTGTCCCATTCAATTGCGCAATCATACCAATTTCCATCGATGATGACATTGAATTCGTCGGCTCCTTGTCGTATTGTGCTTTTGATGAAAGTGGTTCATCATTCTTCTGTTGTGCGTACATTTTACTGTGCGAATTTCGTTTATTCTTTGAACTTTTCATGCTATTGCGATCTTTCTTTCCAATTGTGCTCGATCCGTGTTCAGTTCGTTCGTTGGAACGTTCATAGCTTCGTCGTAGAAGGTTTTCCAATTGCTTTCCGTTGCTATTTTTCAGGATGCACTTGAGAATCTGATCAATGGACGCTTCTTTTTTCTCATTTGACATCTCCAAACTGTCAGTGCTGTCGACCGGTTGAAGCGGATGTGTGCCCAATGGTACCAGCATATTTGATGGTTCGTTGGCATTCATTGTTTGGTGTACGTCCATCGATTGATCGTCGTCATCGTCAGATGTCAACTTCAAATTATGGCGATTGAGTAATTGTTTAATGTCATTTATATCAGCTGGCGTCGCCGATATGGCACTTCGTCTTTCAATCTGTCTTCCGATCGTGTTTTCGGTGACCTGAATGCGATTCGGATGTTTGTATTTGATGCTTTGCATTTGATTTGTTATGCGTTGACTTTCCACCGATGAGCTGCTAGCCCGACGACGATTATTCTTTCGTTTGTACATGTAGTTACGTTGTCGTTTCTCACTTTTCATATTGACGCGCTTCTGTGAGCGGCTCTCCAATGTGGCTTTGATATTTGTTTCCGACATTTTCACCGACACTTGTGACACTTGCGAGTCAATTGAATTGCGCCTTGATTCAACCGAAAAGTGTCGAACGCTCACACTTATCTCCGAATTATTATCGGCACATGAACTTGTATATGGCACACAATTCGTATTTTGTTCGCCAAACTCCATTGTTTCCAACGTTACAGCGTTTCGTCGGTTTATTATGTTGCATAGATAATTGGTCAGAGTTGCACTCATTCCATCTGATTCAGCTGGGTGGTTTAGATTGTTGACATCGAAATTCAAACCAGCTGGATCAGTGTGGGAATTTTCAATCGAAACAGAAATTACTTCATCGCCTCGCTTTGCATATGCATCGGCTATTATACGGTGTTTTGGTTTAGTGTACTTTTCGTCTTCGCTGAGCTCGTACCCAATTTTCCTGTGGAAAGAAGAAAAAGTGAAGCAAAGAAGAATAAAAAACGATTCGAATAGTTGGAAGATTTTTCAATCCCTCATTTAAATCGGGGTCGTACATACTTTTTAAGAAATCGCTTCCATGTCTTAAGTGCTGGCCATGTCCAACACCATGATGATATCACCAAGTTCACACAGAATAAACACAATAAGCGAAGCTGAAGAACGGCAATACTTGGACGGTTCTGAATTTTACACTTGACATTGCCCGGATGACTTTCTTTTATCTTGCATCTAAAACATAGCAATTGTATAAATGATCAGTACTCTTATTACCTTTAGCGTCAATTTCAAAGTAAAATTACGTACATGATAAAGTCATTCAAGCTCTTGGTCCAAAGGGCAGTATTGCGCACTTCATAGGTTTCGAAGATGAAAAATGCAAGAATGAAAAACACGACTAACATTGTGCGAAAACACATGCCCAGAATGTGTGAATTCAGTTTCTTGGACTCCTCGCCGCTACTGGTACTTCGTTTAATGCGATTCAAGTTGATGCCACCTTTAAATGAGAAGAATACGCTAACGCCAAAGGTTAATATGGCCACAGGAACTAAAACTAAACCGCTGCGAATGGCACGATTGCGATATCCAACAAAACAAATCCCGGTAATACTATTGCCATCCACTTCACTCAGCACCATTATTGTGACCGTCAGAATAAAGGGCAAAGCCCACGCGATGAAATGGAAATAGAAACTTTCTTTGTCGATGCGATCTCGAATGCTTCCTAAAGAGGTGACATTGGTTTATTCACAAGAATAATATTTTCAAAGTTATTATTTGGAATATTGGTCAAAAGTTTGTTTGTATAAATTAGTAAATTGTTGAATGGTGCATACCTCGATCCTTCGTTTGTAAGTACCAAGCGTATGTGAAAATGGCAAACCAGACATTGGCCGCGATTAAAAAGTAGTAAATCAAAATGAATGGGATGATACAAGCAAGATTATCACCAGCACTCGGTTCAGAGTAGCGTAGAGTGCCATCGCGTCGACACACAATATTCTCACGATGGCCGGGTACAAATTGCAACATCCATCTGGGGAAACAGAAAGAATTTATTTGAAGGAAATTCTAAATTTTCCCGAGACTATTTCCAACGTCATCTCGATTGAATCAAAGCGTTAATTTCTAAGCTTACCCAACCCAATTACAAAGGAAGCAAATGCTGATGTAGAACAAATTCCATGCAGGATGTTTTGAGTGCTTCCAATCATGGATCAAAAATGTTGCAATCACGAAAAAGTTGCAAATAAAACAAATGATCGCTCCCCAGAAAATCAACGTCTGCACCGACTCGTGCTCTTCATCCGTATACATGGGATCTTTGCATTGCAGACCACAGCCCTCAATATCTAAATAAATCGTAAAATAAATTACGTGATTTTCATAGAATCATAATAATATTTTGATAGAAAATTCTAAAGTATACCTGGATAATAATTGATTGCCGAATCGGTTGCAACGAGCGGCGATACACATTGGCTCGAGATCGACGTGAATTTCATGTCACGAACATCATTGCTACAATTTTTGCAAGGGAATATTTTTTCATCGCATTTCAGATAGCTTGGAAAGAGGTCGGTCTCATACAAAATGCGGCATGGGTCAGCAGTCACTTGGCACATTTCGTATGACGGCAGGTAGACATAATCTTTGCCTTTGCTCTTTGTGCATTTGGGCAAATAAACGGCACACAAAAATGGCTAGAAAAGATATACTTATTAACATGATTGACCATGCGAAACATAAATACAAAACAAAAACTCACCTGAATGACTTCCCAACACTTTGGAACATTTTTCAATGCTTCCAATTGGGCTAATTTCTTGAGATTCTGCTCTTGATTCCCCTCCTCCGACAACTGTCCGCTGGTGAATTTATATAGAATTTTTCCACCAAAACATGTACTAGTCTGAATACGTTCACATTTGGTCGGTCGAAGACAGCGAATTATGTAATTTTGTTCACGATCATCATGCCATGGCTTTCCACTTATATCTTTCGTAATATTACTTAGAAAGTCTTGACCATTTATGGCCACCAATTCCAATTGTTCATCCTCGGGATCCGATGACGATAGTGTGCCCCCATTATATATAGCATACACAGCATTCCTACACAGTTCTTGAGCTAGTATCAAACAAACTATCCAGAGGCTGTAGAAATTGAAAAATATGATTTATTTCAGATTTTGTAGCAAAACTGATGGCAATATTTGAGAAAAATTGAGTTGGATTAAACTTACAAATTCATGTTTTACATTTCTTCTTCGCTGTCTTGTTTTTTTTTTGTTTACTAATGTGCTGTTGTTATCGTTGTTGTAGTGTGACTGATGCGGTTTGTTTGACATTTCTGAGATTTTTTCACGCACATGTAGCCATACACACATGCTCAGACTGTTGCATCTATTGTCCCTATTGATGAAAGTAAATTGTTTAGCACCCGTTTACAAAGAAGAATCTTACTTTTCGTTGAGCATAATGGAATTGTACAACTTGAAAAGGACGAACGATGAGCATGCAATCGAAATAAATTATATATTTCATTGTTGGTAACGCAATATTTACCTCTAGCGTTTAAATCATTTGAAATCATATAAAGAGAATGCGATATTACATGTAAGTCAGTAACTACAGTGGCTTCATGCGCTTATAAACGCCATCTAGCGTATGTGAATACAAAGATAAAAACGAACTTTATTTTGAACTTGAGTTCAGAAAAGTTTTAACGGAAATGTGCTTTAACGGTAATTCAAGCGGACTTTCATGTTAAATTCATTTTTTCGCTATATGTAACATTTCGTTCAATCCATGTGATTGAGTTCGATGCCCGATTAATTGTTCAACTACCCTACTAGAAGGAGAAATACAAATGGAATAACATCCAAAGAGTTTTAATACGATTATTTGTCAATTCTAACAGATTAACTGTCAGTTCCCTGTGGAAATTTCCAAAGCTTAACTAAGAAATTGGCTTTTAGTCTAGTTCCAATAGTCATTTTTAACATTCATCCATTGTATCATGATAAGTTAACGATACAATTACATAGCTATTTTCCGATGTGCACGGGTTTATCATTAGCAAATCTGATCAGATGCTGAAATAACAATATTTCCAACATGTTGATTTACATCATTATGATTTTAATTGCAGTTCGAATGATTTTGTACGAAACAGAAGTGAACTTAGCAATTGCTGGCAAAATGTATTAAATTGGATGAACAATTGAATCAATGCTTTATTAAATGTCATTTGAATCATGCGACAAAATCAAATTAATTCAGCATTCAATGGATGAGAGTGTGAATCCGATTTGACACTGCATTGTACACCTCGGTGCTGTGCTGTGCATGGAATTTCATGTGTCAGAATGGCTTATTACAAACGTACTAATTATGACACATATTTGCTTATCTTAATGAAGTGTCCCAGATTCTTATCGCAATCGACACTGGGTTATTTCGATTCACTTTCGAATGGAAAATGAAATACTGACGATTGAATGAATTGCGAGTCTTTGAAATTAAAAATTTTTCACGCAACTAGTTCAGCAAAGGCCACAAAAGCAATTTCACCACAAGCCAATATGATCTCTGTTTCGTTTGACACAAAAGCGGTGGCTTTGTAGAAAAAGGAATGCATATAACAGATCAAAGCATAAAACACCTGAATTTACAAAGAGAATACACATTGACATTAACATCAATGAATGACGTCTTTTTGATTAAATGCGGTTGAATGATTTCCATGCAAAGAGAAGTCATGTGTCACTGCTTTAGTTTAATTGTCCCCATTTTCTATTTCTATTTGCAAACCCAGTGAAGGTAGAATGTACGATATAAAAGAGATAAGGTCATAAGTTGATCAAATGGTTTTTCCAAACAGAACAAAACAACAAATGAATAGCATTCCCTTTGAAACTATTTTTTCTCTTGGCTATATAATATTTATTAATATCCCGAATTCATTCGAAAAACTGCGTCCATTTCAAGAGAAACGGTATACGAAAGAAGCCGACATATTTCTTGGCAACCAAAAATCCATTGGCTCTTTGATATTTAGCAATCTTTTGTGTTCATGTATGATATAAACGAAAGACATAAACTAATTGCATTGTTCGGAAGCATGGCGCGTTCGTGATAACAAATTCGAGTAACAAATCTTTTGTGCAAGAGGAAATTCGGCAAACAATAAAGTGCTATAATATTATTACAATAGTGATGGCACTTCACCACAATAGACACAGGACTTTCAATCTTATGCCATCATTACAAGTGTGTCTATCGTTTGATGCACGCATATTGCATACCACTCGAAAAAAGGAGGGGACATCGTTCCTGTGTCCATAAATTTTTCGGTCAAACAAAAGCCGGCACACACACAAACTGGACATTTTACGCAAGCGACAAATTGTCAACCGAGAGAGAGA